GGGATATGCCCTGATATGATATATCGTGGTATGATCTGTTGTGATGTGATATGATATGGCGTGATTGGCGGGCAATTCAGTTCTGGGGCGAGATCCCCAGGCTCGGGTGTGATCTGCCCATTTTTTGTGCTTCAGATGCCGAGCTGACCTCGTTTGGTGTGCGCTCGAGGATGTCTTTGTATCAATAATCCGGGCTTTGAGCCCGGGTGCAAAATATGGTTAGTACACTAGCCCCCCGAGCTCTGAAGGCCGTTGGTCGAAGAGTTGGGACCGGGCTCACCAGAGGGGAGAGTGGCTTCGCGTGTACGCTGTCTGAAGGTCCGCCATGTGTCGCGACTATTCGCGTGCTGGAGACGTTTAAGTGGCGCATTAAAGGTATTGACGGTTATGTAATAATGACTTCGTGGTAACTGTGCCGTTAGGTTTGTCGTTCGACTGACGCGTGTCGTGTCGTTTTGAAATTTGGGGAGAGAGTTTTTCTTTCCCTCGCGCTTCCTTGTTTCTATCTTTTGGTCTTCCTTCCTGACATCCTTGAGTGTGAGAGGGTTCTCTTGTTTTCTCGCTTTCCTTTCGCCTTCTTTTCTTCTTTGAGTTTTCGGCGTCGTTTTCGGTAGCCATTTTCTTGTTAGGCTCACTTTCTGGGGAGGAATACCAGGTATCTTCTTTTTATTCGTTTCTCTTCTTCGTTTTAATGGCTGGTGGAAGTGGTGCGGGGGCCTCTGGGTCTGCCGAGGGCAAGGCACGTGGCAAGGCGGTAACCGCCGGAAGGGTTACCGCCCGGAGGCCAGCCCCGCCTCTGCAAAGGGGTCCAGAGCCAGGTGTTCCTGGTTATGACTGGGTTAAGCCTGAGGTGGCTGAGGTTCAGAGCATTTTCCGCTCCTTTCTTGACGTGAATGCGCTTCAGAGGTCGCACAGGGTCTGCGATCCTTCCATCTCCCATATGATTCGGCTTGAGCCTTGTCAGGCCGATGAGGGTGTGTACATGGGGAGGTCTACTGACCCTCCTCATTTCTATGTGTACCAGTGCTTTTTTAGGGATTTAGGTATTTGTCTTCCTTTCACTCAGTTTGAGTGTGATTTTTTGAACTTCATCAACTCGGCTCCCTGCCAGTTGCACCCCAACAATTGGGGTTTTTTGAGGGCTTTTCAGGTCCTGTGTACAGTTTTGGGCATGGAGGTGTCTCTCCACATCTTTCTTTATTTTTATCAACTGAAGATGGGTGTTCCGCCTTATGGCATTCTGTCTCTGAGTGGGAGTAAGGCTGGGGGTCTGTTTACCCCCTATTCCCAATCTTATAAAAACTTCAAACAGGAGTTCTTCCGGGTGGCTCTTGTGGGCGTCAACCCGTTGGAGGACGAGGTGTTCTACTTCGGTGGCTTGCCGAAGTTTCCTTTCTACTGGTGCCCTAAACCGTCCAGGTTTCACGGTTTAGGGGACTTAAAAGTGACGGCCTCGGAGGCGGCCGCCATTAAAAATCTCGCCGCGCTCCCTCGCCCGTTGGATTGCAAGCTTGTTCTATCGCTTGCGAATTCGCGTTACAGGGAGAGGGGCCTAGAGAGTGAGTATTTCGTGTTTCGATAGTTGATTAGGGCTTGCGTGGTTGCCGTTTGCCAATGCGTTTCTTTTTCTGATTGCAGGCATAATGGGGAAAAACTTGTGGACGTTGCAATGTTGTTGAGCTGGAGGTCCCCGAGGAGAATGCTCCCTCCCAGAGGACCACCCGTAAGAGGAAGCGGAGAGAGGAGGAGGTCGGGGGAACCTCGGCCGTGCTGGGCGGTGAAGGGGTGGCTTCTGCGGCTGCCGAGGTCGATGCTGTGGACCTCACCGAGAGCCCTCCGCCCCAGGGGGCGCCGCAGGCGGCAGCTGAGGGGTTGGCTGGGGTCGCTGGGGCAGTTGCCCACGTTGCCGAGCATGCTGCTCAAGTTGCCGAGGTGGTGGGTATCGCATCTCTTGTATATTTCTTTATTCTGTTGTTATGCTTTTTGTCTTGCTGATCTGGGGCTGTGTTTCGCAGGTTGGGGATGTTGCTGAGGTGGCTGCGCAGGCTCCCGGGCTGGAAGTCCATCCTGCCGAGGAGGGGGCTCCAGCCACCGAGCATACTGTTCGAGCTGCTGAGGTAAGCAAGGCTTATTCGTTTGTTGTTGTAGTTCTTCGTATGTCGCCCTGTTTTACTTTTGACATGAGCTTGGTTGTTGCAGGAAGGATTGGGAGTCCCTGTTGTTGGCTTTCAAGATACTGAGCAGGGGACGCCGGCTTCTGCCGCTTCGGTACCGCCGGCGGGAACATCTCGAGGGCCTTCCCGGGCTCCGTATCTGGCTCACCGTTTTGGGAAGGGGGTAGATACGGTGCGGCTGGATCACGTGAGTGCCTCCGCTGATATGGACTCGCTGTGGAGTGCGGGGGTGACCGCGGAGAGGTTCTTTCCTCAGGGTTCGTTGAGCTCCGACGACCTGGGATTGATTGACAGGATTGGTCCCGAGGACAGTTTTGATGTTGCCCAGGTAATGCTGCAGAGGGTGATGGGCATAATGGGTCACTGGAAACCCAAGTGGGGCCAGCAACAGCAGGAGCTTGCCAAGCAGGAGCAGGAGCTTGCTAAGCAAGCGCAGGAGCTGGCTAAGGTGAAAGGCTGGCTTCAGCCATGGAAGGAAGCGAACAAGATCCTGAAGGAGGATAACAAGGCCCTTACCGTGGCACTCGATGAGGCGAAACGGCGGGAGGCTGACTTCCAAAATGTGCGTAGCGACCTTACACGGCTGCGTAAGTCTCTTGAGATTTCCCTGCGGTCCAATGAGACGTACGCTTCCCGGGTGGGGGAGTTGCAGGAACTTGCCGCCTTTTCCCGATCCCGAGTTCGATCTTTGGAAGATGAGGTGACGTCCTCGCGTGATCAGGTGCGGGCCTTGGAGGACGCTGTGTCTTCTTTAAAGGGGGAGCTGGTAGAGGCGGCCGAGGAGCGGCTCCGCAATGAGGCCGTTCTGGGCGGGCGGGAGGGCGAGATTGCTGCCTTGAGGGAGGAGCTTGCGGAGCTGGCAGCCGGGAAGGCAGCTGTGGAAGAACGGCTTGCTGTGGTGGAGCGTTCCTTCGTGGCGAAGCACAAGAGGGGCTTCCAGAAGGCCGCTCGGCAAGCGCGGCTTCTTGCTCCTGGGTTCGACTTCTCTTCCATGCATGTGGAGAAGGTGGTCCGATCTGGGCAGCTGGTTCAGGAGGATGATGTCAATGATAGCTCGAGTGAAAATGCCTCCACCTAGGCTGTCTCCTGCAATTTTTATTTCCTTTTCTTTTGTTCATGTATCGAACTGATTGTAAATTTGTATTTATATATGCGCATCTTTTCTTTTTTCATTGTGGCTGTGCTTGATTTTTCCACACTTGCGTGTTCTAGGACATATTTTTGGTGTTTATGGTGTGTTGCGAGCTCGGTCCACGTTTTCGTTGCGCGACCCGCTCATGGGAGTTTGATCTCGCCATTAGACTGATATGTTAGATTTTGTTTGTGATCCTAGGCGAGGGCGTCAGGCTTTCTGAAGTGGATGATTGCGTCGCGCTTGTGCTTGTACGCTTTTGATGTCTGTTGTACGCATTTTCTGAAATTTTCATAAGAGTTCATGCATGACCTTGATGATGCGAGATTCCGGCTTTGTGGAGGTTCAAGTTTGACTTCCAATTTGGGTGAAGCAATTGAACTGAGGTTCGTAGTCGCCCTCGAAATTGGGGCGAAGTGGTTTAGCTAAAGCTCGTACTCGTCCTTAACTTGCGCGTTTGTACGCGGCTTCTGATCTGAGTAAAGTGATTGGGCTCGGGTTCGAATTCGACCTTGACTTTGAGTAAGATGGTTTTGTTGAGGCCGGGATTTGTCTTGTAGCGAAGTGTATTTCGGTCTGTTTTTTGGCTTTGGTTAAGGAAATATAGCCTCAAGGTTCGGACTCGGCCTGGGTGTAACGAGGTTCATCTTGCCATTTTGACGAAAGCTCGGATTTGCCCTCCGATCATGGGTGGCCGGTTTGGCGAGGTGATAAGCGTAGCGATTTGATTAAGGTTTAAAGTCGAGCCTGCGGGGGCGTCGGACTTCACACTCGCCCTTGAATTTGTGGTAGGCTGGCTGACGAAGGTTTGGTTTTGACTTTTTGGTGGGGAATATTGAGGTTTTCAACCTGATCCCCGGTTGAGATAAACACAGGCTCGAACTTGGCTTTGGGCGAGAGTGCCGGGATTCGTACTCGACCTCGAATTTACGCGCTTAAGGTTCGTACTCGACCTCGCATTTAGGTAAACGAACTACTTAAGGCTCGAACTCGGCCTTAGGTGAGAGTGCCGGGGTTCGTACTCGACCTCGACTTTATGCGCTTTGAGGTTCGTACTCGACCTTGCATTTAGGTAAACGAACTACTTAAGGCTCAAACTCGGCCTTAGGTGAGAGTGCCGGGGTTCGTACTCGACCTCGAATTTAGGTAAACGAACTACTTAAGGCTCGAACTCGGCCTTAGGTGAGAGTGTCGGGGTTCGTACTCGACCTCGAATTTATGCGCTTTGAGGTTCGTACTCGACCTTGCATTTAGGTAAACGAACTACTTAAGGCTCGAACTCGGCCTTAGGTGAGAGTGCCGGGGTTCGTACTCGACCTCGAATTTATGCACTTAAGGTTCGTACTTGACCTTGAATTTATGCGCTTGAGGTTCGTGCTCGACCTTGCATTTAGGTAAACGAACTACTTAAGGCTCGAACTCGGCCTTAGGTGAGAGTGCCGGGGTTCGTACTCGACCTCGAATTGATGCACTTACGGTTCGGACTCGACCTTGAATTTATGCGCTTGAGGTTCGTGCTCGACCTTGCATTTAGGTAAACGAACTACTTAAGAGTATGCGATAAGCAAGAAGAAATGTATTATTTATGGTGTCTAATTTGTATGCCTCGTTAAAAACCCTCTTCAGTCGGAGGCTGAGGTGGGAAAATAGTGCACAATCTTATTTGCATTTGAAAAGAAATTACTAAATAAGGCCTAGGGAGCTATGGTGGGAGGGTTCCCCCTGCTTTGCTTGCTGCACGAGGAGATCTTCAGGCTCTCAGCATAGCACTGTCGAGCCGTCTTTTGGTTTGCCTTTACAGTGATGATTTTTCCGTCATTCCCAAGGAACTTCATGGTGAGATGCGGGGTAGATACCACTGCTCCGAGTTTGTTCAAGGTTGGCCTCCCAATTATGATATTATAGGAGGTATTGGCTTCTACAAGGAGGTATCGAACCATGACCCTTCTTGTGTCCGGGGGTGTTCCGAAGGTTGTAAGTAGGTCCACATATCCACAAGTGTGGACCCGCTCACCGGCGAAACCGACCAAAGGCTCTGTATGTGGCTGGATGAGAGAATGAGGAACGTCGAGTTTAAGGAATGTTGGCCAGTACAAAACGTCGGCCGAGCTTCCTTGGTCTATGAGTGTCTTTTGGACTTCCCAGTTAGCGATCTCCACCATGATGACCATGGGATCATCTTGGCTAGGGCTGATTCCCACATAGTCTTCATCGGAAAAGGAGATTGGAGGCGAGCTTTTGTGTGTGACCGCGACGGTGGAGTGGGCTCAGTTGATGCTTCGAAGGTGTCTCCTCCGGGCTGAGCTGCTGGCGCCTCCTCCGGCGAAGCCGCCCGCGATCGTGTTGATTACTCCCCGTAGGGGAGTTGACTCCGTTTCCTGGCTTACTTCAGCTTGAAAACTGTGCCAGTGGAATTTTGTTGGGTTCCTATGGGTAAGTCTGTGCGGGCTCCTGATCCGCGGCCTCTCCCCCGTCCTCGGCCGCCTCGGGAGCCCTGCTGTCGTTGGACATACTGGCCAAGGTGACCTGCCTGGACATGTTCTTCAATGCAATCTCGGAGCGTGCGGCATTCTTCCGTGGTGTGGCCGTAGTTCCTGTGGTACCAGCAGTGCTTGGTCTTGTCGGCACTGTTGGGAGTGTGGCCGGGTGGCGGGAGAGCTAGTAGGTTGTTGTTACTGGCTTCTTCCAAGATGTGAACTTTCGAGGCGGTTAGGGGGGTGTAGAAGTCGTACTTCCCGCCCCTATTTGCTTTGGCCGACTTCTTGAATTGGCTGTCATTGTTGACTTTTACCTTGTCTTTGTGTCCTTGTTCTTGTTTTGCAAGGTTCTTCCCTCGTGCTTGGTCGCGGAAGGCTGAGTGTTCCTCCATCTGGATGTACCCGGCGGCGCGGGCACACAGTTCATCCATGTCGCGAGGGGCGTCGCGGCATAGGCTGTCGACGAACGATCCGGGCTTGAGTGCCATGAGCATGGCGTGCAGGGCAACTTCCGGGTTTAGATTTCGGATCCGGATCGCTACATTGGAGAAGCGCTCCATGAAAACTCGCAGGGGTTCATCATCATTTTGCCTTAGGTTGGCTAAGGTGGCTGAGGTTGTGTGGTGAGGTCGACTGGTGGCGTATTGTGCCATGAATCGCCGCACCAAGGTGGCAAAGATGTCGATGGATCCGGCTGGTAGTTGGGTGTACCACTGAAGCGCGGGCCCTTTTAGTGAGGTCGGAAAAACCCTACACAATACAGCGTCATTGTTAGTGTAGAGGTTTACCTGGGTTGTGTACAAGTCTATGTGCTCGTCGGGGTCCGTGGTGCCGTCGTAACGGTCAAGATGAAGGGGCTTCCACCCACGGGGCAGTGGGGTCTCCATGATCCTGTCCACAAAGGGGTGACGGCGAAAAGGTTCATGGCCTTCGGAGGTATGGGTGGGGGCCCTACTGGTACCTTGTCCTGACCTGTGTGTTGATGCGTGAGACCGGTGCGTGGCAGGCCGGGAGGTTGTCGCTTTGGTCGTTGTCCGAGAGGCTGAATGTGCCTCTCCCCCATGATCGTTACTATCGCGTGGCGGTTGATCGGGGTGGTGTCGAGGAAGCTGGGCGCGGATGCGCTCATTCTCGGCACGCAAAGCTGCTAGGTCGGCCTCATTAGCGGTGCGTATTGCTGCGAGGTCGTTTGCGTGCTGGGCGCGCATGTTCTGAAGGTCTGCGTCATGTTGCCGTTGCATTTGCTCGACTTGGTCGATCAACCGTCTCAGGGTTGCAGCGTCGCTATCCATGGTAATTGAATGGCTTGCCTCGTCTGTTGCTCGTCTGATGTGGCTTCTAGTAGAAACCATGCAGGTGGCCGATAAGAGTCGTCTCGATCGGCCCCACGGTGGGCGCCAAATGTTCTTACCGGATTTTGGTCGTAGGGGTGATCCGTCCAGTAAGATTGATGAGCCTCCTTTGCTGGTACGCTGGTGTTCCAAGATGGGGGTGGTACCTGCAAAAGAGACTCCGATGCTAAAGTTAGTTCTTAGGTGACTAATAGTCTCGTATATATATAATGCACGCACCTTTGTGTGGATTAGGGTCTTATAGGGCTTTAGGCCCGAGGGGGGATATGCCCTGATATGATATATCGTGGTATGATCTGTTGTGATGTGATATGATATGGTGTGATTGGCGGGCAATTCAGGTCTGGGGCGAGATCCCCGGGCTCAGGTGTGATCTGCCCATTTTCTGTGCTTCAGATGCCGAGCTGACCTCGTTTGGTGTGCGCTCGAGGATGTCTTTGTATCAATAATCCGGGCTTTGAGCCCGGGTGCAAAATATGGTTAGTACACATCCATACAAGCAATAACAACAATAATATAATAGAAAGATAGATTGTGTTGAATGAGAAATAATATTTTTTTTTGTTTGAAAGGAAGATTATTAGAATACAAATAATATCCCATATTGCTAGAATAAGAAGAGAAAATAAAGTTTATAAAACAACACATGTATTCCATTAGTTGGAAACAATTTTGAGTGATAATCAAAAGTAAAATCATAAGAATGTAAATCTAAAATGACCTATATTTAACTATTATAGACTGTATGCAAATATCCCAAATGCTTCAATAAAAATAACAAGATATAATCAATTAGTAAAATAAAAATCCTCACAAGAGAGATGAGGAATTTTTTACTGATATAATTTTTTTTTAATTTTCCTACAGGAATGTTTGCATTCGGCACAAAAGTGTTACCGAATTTAGATGAATTATACATTTCCATCTTACCCATCGGAGCATTATACTGAGGCATGTGAACCTGCCTCATGGTTAACCCAGCATTCGATCCAGCGAGGTGAATAAGGTGTTGGTTGACGGAGGTGCAGCTGTGAATATCTTGCCTAGGACAATGCTGAAGAGGTTTGGGAATCCATGGCTGACTTAAAGCCCCATAATATATTGATCTCAGATTATCCAAGGAAGTCTTCACACCCTGAAGGTATGATTCTGCTTGATGTTCAGATCGGAAGCGTGAAGAGAACTACTATGTTTATAGTAACTCCATCGAAGACAAATTTTAACATCTTGTTAAGGCGAGAATGGATTCACGAGGTAGGAGCTGTCCCTTCGACAGTACACCAAAATATTTTTTTTTGGAATGATGACGAAGGATTGGAAGTTCTCGAGGCAGATCAAAAGGCATATGAGGTAGGCATGTATTTTGCTGATCAACAATTAACTGCATTTGCAAAAACCAAGCCTTTTGATGCCTACAATGCTGGAGTTATGGACGAAGAAGAAGGAGTTAAGAAGATTTTCTGCTGGGATATTCTCTTCACGCTTCCGATCTGAACATCAAGCAGAATCATACCTTCAGGGTGTGAAGACTTCCTTGGATAATCTGAGATCAATATATTATGGGGCTTTAAGTCAGCCATGGATTCCCAAACCTCTTCAGCATTGTCCTAGGCAAGATATTCACAGCTGCACCTCCGTCAACCAACACCTTATTCACCTCGTGTCCTTCGATCATCAAAGTTAACAATAAAGGTTTAAGGTGACCTTTCATCTCTTTGGTGGGGGAATCGAAGACAGCTGAATTAAATTTGGGGATAACCCTCGAGATTTGATTAACCCACACGATCTTGGACTCATAATTAGGATCATCGAAGAAGTCTTCTCGATGAATATCCTCTTGTTCGTTTACAGATTCCATGGCTCCAGCGTACTCAGAAGGAAGAATTGATACTATCCCACAGATGTCTTCCAAGGAATCATCGAAACTGCTCACGAAACAATTAGTTATCAGATCTTCGTCATCTTCCATGAATTTTCGAGAGGATTCCCCCTTTTGAGGTATAGGAATCGAAAAACGATTCCCTCTGAACCCTTCAAATGTAGCTTTTCGCATCCTTTGCTGTCTCCTCCACTAAGTTTTGGTTAAGTTATTAAAGGGCTGTCGAAAATCGCGCCCATAACTTCCAGTCGAGAATCTACCAGGACCTATAGATATATTTGAGAACTTTCCAGGAGTGCCTTGCACTGGATGTCCAGCATAATTCATCACTTGCTTGCCTCGACCCATTCCACCAACCATCGATCTTGGTGGGGCATTCTATTTTCCTACAGGAATGTTTGCATTCGGCACAAAAGTGTTACCGAATTTAGATGAATTATACATTTCCATCTTACCCATCGGAGCATTATACTGAGGCATGTGAACCTGCCTCATGGTTAACCCAGCATTCGATCCAGCATTAAGCTTGGGCTTTTCTCGAAGCTTCTCGGCTTTGTAGCTCCTCATCATTTTTGACTCCTCGAAAGCCAGTAAAAAAAACTCAAAAAAATTTACATAAAATATCATCCTTAAAGCGGTACGTTGGTTAGAGTTTCATTTTTTCACTAAGTTTTTATACTAAGTTTTTCCAATGATGTTGTGACTTTGTGTTAGGGTAATGTTACAGTAAGTTAGGGTTAGGGTAAGTGTATGTGTAGGGTTAGCGTTACAGATAGGGTTAGCATTGTATTTCTAACCCCTCTTAATGAAAAGATGTACATTAGAACAGAGATAAACATTAAAAAAAATCATAATCATGTAAAAATTTGTTCCTATTATCACACCCGTGATACACTAGGAAGACATGTTCAAATATTAGTCATGCATTTAATTCCTGTCACCATTGATTTTTATTGTTGTAATGGGTTTTAAGTTTAATAAATGTCATTGTTTACTTTTATGAATGTCACTGCAACTATACAAATTTTTACCATTTCTCAATTATTTTCATTCAGCATACATTTTAAATTAAAAATAGAAACTCAACCAAACTATCTCCCTCTTCGAGTTTCTCATCTAAAATAGGCTCAATGTTTTCATCATCCTCGATATTAACTTCAACCATGTTGACAGAAACTCAACCAAACTATCTCCCTCTTCGAGTTTCTCATCTAAAATAGGCTCAATGTTTTCATCATCCTCGATATTAACTTCAACCATGTTGACAGCCATCGAGACTGGTTCCACATAACCAGTGTGAGCAGCAAATTGATCAGTGTCCACTTTCATGTCCTTTTCCTTGAAAGCAAGGCGACGATCAGTAATCGCTTTTTCGATCATATCCCTGAAACGCACAATTATTAGTCCAATTGCCATACATATTATGATATTTACAAAATTTCTTCCCTTTTCTTTGTTCGAAT